AAACGAATACATACCGTAATTATCAGTTTCTCGCAAGCTGACCTAAATCATGGTGATAAATCAAATCTTTCAGCATAAATCAAGTTAAAGCGAATAGGGATTATGCACAGAAGAGTAAGAATTATTCCACGTATATGGATTTGTGACTGATTAGCGGTTTTATAGAAATCAGATTTTGATGAAATCTGTTTGCTTCTAAAGCTTCAGTTTGACTATAATAGCTAAGTAAAGTACAGTCAATATCATGCTTTATGCGCATTAGACAGGTTAATTAATAGCATTTATGTCAAAAGTTAAAGCAGAGCCTGTATGTTAACCTAACCAAAATTTCTCTCGGTGATTTGAAAAGAGCTTTGTCTCCACCTGAAGCTTTGGTCATTTTAATGAGCAATTTTCAAGTGCTTGTTTTTGTCACAGATGAAAGCATAAATCTTGATCATAGATGTATCCGAACTGTAAGAAAAGCGAAACTAATACACGGAACCGCATCACTTCATTAGCGGAAATCAGATCCAAGGTCGCAAATAAGATGGTGAGCGAATTTATTATTGTAGTGCCCCACTGTAGTGTCCCATCGCAATGAGGCTGGACCTTACCGTGGTGCGATGGTTCGTGTGCCTCAGCGATTCATTGAGCTATGCTGGGTGGTGCTTTTGCACCTTCAGAGTCACTCACGCCAGATTGGTCAATGGTAAGAGGCCAGATAAACTCAGCCTCCTAGTCCTCCAGGTTGGGGGTTGGAATGAGGGTGGCTCCTTATTCCTTAAAACGGACTCCTGGTAGCCCAACACCAAACCCGCTGCCTTGCGGTCAGGTTTTTAACCAAAGGCTTTGGTTGAGAACCCTAATCGTTCTCCTGTCTAGGCCTGGGCAACCTGACAGTATCCTGCCCACGCAATATCATGAATCTTACCTCAAACACATTGCTGATGCTCTGGCCACCGCAGAGGATAATCAACGGTGCCCTATCTGCTGCATCGAGCAGGATGGATATGGGTTTGGATGCCACTGCTGAAGCCTTCCCGTTTTCTTATTCTCCCTCTTACGCTTTTTCACTCTTACCGTCCCCTTCCAACTTCACTTATATCCCCCAGTTTTCAACCCCCGATTTTGGCCCTCCCCCAACATGCTTTGCTAGGCATTTATCTCCTAATTTCAACTCACATGTGAACGCGGAGCGTCACTCCTCTCCTGTCGACACGCCCATGTCCAACCAAGCGGTCCATTCCATTTCATCGGCTTGCATTTGGACCCCTCGGTCCTATTCAGATTGGCATGCCTCAATGTACGCACATTGCTGCAGATCGGTCAACAGGCAGCACTTGCCCGAACATTGAAGACCCTCTCGATCGACATCTGCTGCTTATCAGAGACCCGCCTGAAAGACTCGAGCTCTGTGCTCACTCTGCGATCCCCTTCAGGTGACGCAAACAGTATTTTCTCAGTGCGCCTATCCTGTGCCGATGCAGCTTCGAGCACAGGCCAAGCTGGTGTTGGCATTGTCCTGAGTCCCCGGGCTGAAGCTGCTCTGGTTGATTGGATTCCAATCAGTAGCCGGGTGTGTGTGGTCCGATTGGCTGGCTCGTTTAAAGCCTCTAAGTCGCGCGGGACTTATATATGTCTATTCATCATCGCTGCTTATGCGCCCACAAACTGTAGCGATGATTCGGTAAAGAACGACTTCTACCGCCAACTGACTCAGCTCCTTCACCACAGATGAAGCACGGACACTGTTGTGCTGTCGGGGGATATGAACGCACAAGTTGGAAAGTTGTCCACTGATGAAATGCATCTGGGCGGTCAGCACGGTGTAGGCTCCCGTAATGATAACGGTGAACGGTTACTTCATTTGTGTGAAGATGCTCGTTTATTTCTTGCGAGCACTAATTTCCGACACAGCACCCGCCGAAGGGTGACTTGGCGCCCACCAGCCTTGAACCAGCCTTGGACGCAGATCGATCACAATGCTATTAGTTACCGCTGGAGAGGCTGCATAAAGAATTGTCGCTCGATTTGGAGCACATGTTTGGACACTGATCATGCACTTGTATGTGCTGACATGCGGATGCGCTTTGGCGGATGCTCACGACGACGCTGTGAGCGCATTGACACCAGCCAACTGGCGAAGCCAGCTGTTCTGAATGCGTATCTAAGTACGCTGACATGCGAGTTGAGTAAGCGCTCACTGGAGACAATTGATGGTCACTAGTCACATGTTCGCCAGACCTTACTAGCAGCGGGCAAATCCTCATGTGGTATGTCTAGTAGCCAACATGGACATTGGGTCTCTTCTCGGTCTATGGACCTTAACGACGCTCGCCGGCATATCCCGGTTGGAAGCGAACACAATTAAACTTGCAAAAAGTTCCGGGCAAAACTCCGTGCTAGCCTGAAGAGAGACCGCGAACCTTGGTGGTCTCATCGTGCGTCAGAGATTGAAGTGGCCGCTGCCCTTGGCAACCATCGTAAGTTATTCCGTCTTATAAGGGAAACGGGCAGCAGGAGACCTAGTGTTAGTGAAACAATTTGTGATGACAGGGGGCAGCCTATCCAAAATTTGTCAAAACGTTTGGAGCGTTGGGCTGAGCAATTTGAAAAGCAATGTAATCGGGTAGAATTGTTCTATTCTTCGCCAACCAGTGATCGCCCTGCTTCGTGGGCTGTCTCTTTGGATCCACCCTCTTGCTCAGAAGTCGAATGTGAAATCGGACAGTTGAAGTTGAACAAAGCCGCGGGACCAGATGATCTTCCTCCAGCCCCCTTCAAATTCGGAGGCTGTGCTCTTGTTGATGCTTTACATGAATTCCTAGGAAAACTGTGGGAGCAGAAAACTGTCCCAACCGACTAGAGCCGCTCCGTTATTGTTCCCATCTTCAAAGGCGGCTCGCGCTCGGAATGCGGCAACCATAGAGAAATCAGTCTGATCTCCATCGCCTCCAAATTACTCCCCTCCATAATTTTTCACAGACTGACTGGCGCTCGTGAGAGCCAGATTCGTGAGGAGCAAGCTGGGTTTCGTCGTGGTCGTGGCTGCATCGACCACATCTTTACCTTGCGTCAGTTGTTGCAGCACCGTCACACATATTTGCAGCCCACCCTAGTCGTGTTCCTCGACATCAAAGGTGCCTTCGATTCGGTTGATCGATGTGCCCTTTGGAATTGTCTACTCAGGAAAGATGTGCCTGAGAAATATGTAAATATTATCCAAGCATTATATGTGCGTAGCACGGGCAGAGTGAGGGCTTACGGCAGGTTGTCGCCACTCTTCAATATCTCCAGCGGTGTGAGACAAGGATGCCCGCTGTCACCTTTCCTCTTCAACTTCGCTATTGACGAATCCATGGAGTTTGCATTTACAGGACATGAATTGGAAAGTGTGGAGCTAGTCCCAGGAGAACGACTTCTTGACTTAGATTATGCAGACGACATTGCCCTCATCTGTGACAGCTCCCAGACGTGCCAAACCGCGCTGGACAGATTAGCACTGGCTGTCAGCCGCATCGGGCTTTGCTTTGCACCATCGAAGTGCAAAGCGTTCCTCCAAGATTGGCAGGGATCGTTTCCTGCGCTGACCCTTGGTGGGGATCAGCCAGAAGTCGTTCAGCAATTCAATTACCTGGGAAGTTGTATCCGCGCCCTTGGGGTCGAAGTCGAGATCACGAACCTTATAGCAAAAGCTCGAAGTGCTTTTGCTAACCTTCGCCACCTATGGCGGTGGCGCGATATCACTCTCGCCCTGAAGGGTAGAGTGTACAATGCAGCGGTACGTTCGACCTTACGGTACGGTTGCGAAACCTGGCCCCTAAGATCGGTGAACATGAAGAGGCTAGTTACGTTCGACCATCAGTGCCTTCGCAGTTTGGCTCACATCCGGTGGGAACACCGCCTGAGTAACGAGCGTGTTCGACGCCTTGTTTACGGCCTAGGAAAAGGGAATGAACCGCTCAGCACCGTTATTTCCCGCACCAGGCTCCGATGGCTCTGCCACGTGTTACGCATGCCAGCCCACCGACTCCCTCGACGTGCGTTGTTTGCTCACCGGGGATGTGAGTGGAAGAAGAGGAGAGGTAGCCAAGCGATGGCTTGGTTCAGGGGAACGAAGTCCCTCACTTCGGAGCTAGCCTCGGTTGGAGCGTCACGGCTCCCTGTTTGGGGTCCAAAAGACGGTGAACACGTTTGGCTGGATACACTTGCTGACATGGCAAGGAGCCGACCTCAGTGGCGTTTGTGCTGTGAGTTTCTTTGTCACTCCACATCGCTTTTAGCCTTCCCCTCCATCTACGATCTCATTTCGTAGGGTAAAACATAATACTTTTCTTTTCTTTTTGCTTAGTAGCTGGCTGGTAGCTTACCGGAACGATACCTATCCGTTGCTAGTTGCTCAGCTGGCATGCAACTGTTGTATCTATTTTTCCGTGACATCTCCGTAGGGATAATCTAATGAACGCAGTAGCGTCGTTGGTTACCTAATTGACCTGGTTATTTACGACGGGGTTTCCACAACCTGGCCATGCTGTCATATCCAGGGAGATTGCTTAATCGGATAAACCGTGTATCGCTGGATGACGGGTACGATGAGATGTTAGGAAGGAATACACGAGTCGAACAAGCCAGGACCCCATCGCCTCGGCCGGCTATCCAAACCCATCCGCCCTGATTGGGGCGAACAGAGAGCCAACCAGGAGAAGCGGCCAATGAACGCTAGGTTGAAGTTCTTTTATTGGCTGTAAGTTAACCTTTCCAGAGCTTTCCACGGTCGCTTTAAATATATTGTTCACGAACGTTCCAATCACCTTTATAATGAACGGTGTGATTTGCCAATTCATTCCTGTTGCTCTGCTCGTCCTATTCGTCTTCTCTCTGTCCTGTGGGGGGCCAGCGACTTCAGGTTTGATTGGAATCAAGCGTCCATTCAGGCGACGGACGAACACTTCAACTGGCGACGGTTTGAACCCCTAATCAAGATGTCCATATCGGCTGACGAGCTCAAGGCCATTCTACTGCAGCAACAAGCACAATTTGAGGCATCCCAACTCAGGCTGATCGAAACTCTTACGCGCCAACTCTCAATCCAGAACGGTTCACTGTCTACAAACGTCAAGCCGTCCGCATCGGTAGACGCCATCACTAACAGCATTACCGAATTTTCGTACGACCCCAATGCTGGCCTAACTTTTGAATCTTGGTTCAAGCGTTATGAAGATGTGTTCCGCGTTGAACTTGGAGACCATGATGACGATTGGAAAGTCCGATTGCTGTTAAGGAAACTTGGAACAGCAGAGCACTCCAGGTATGTCAACTTTATTTTGCCTAAGAACGCTCGAGACTGCACTTTTGAGGAGACTGTCAAATGCTTGGGCCAAATATTTGGAGAGCAGTCATCCATCTTCAACACGCGATATCAATGCCTGAAGATCACCAAGGCAGACGCTGATGACTACGTCACTTATGCTGGCATCGTCAATCGCGAGTGTGAAAAATTCGACATCAAATCCATTACGGCAGATCAATTCAAATGCCTGATTTTTATCTGTGGCCTACATTCCCCACGGGATGCAGAGATTCGCACCAGGCTGCTGAGTAAACTTGAACAAGACCAGCAAATGACTCTACAGACCATAACTACTGAATGCCAACGATTGCTGAACCTCAAGCATGACACTCTTATGCTGGAGAAACAACAATCCATTCCAAATCTTAGTGTATTAAAGACAACCTCAAAGAAACCGCTTTCAAGTGAAACAGGCCATGAAAAGCCCAGACAGAATACCAAGCCGCCGACTGCCTGTTGGAGATGTGGTGAGTGGCATTTTGTTCGAGTGTGTCCATTCCTGCAACACGTTTGCCACAAGTGTCATAAACGGGGCCATAAGGAAACGCACTGCCGATGCAGACCGCAGTTCAAGCGTGCAAGACATACGCGACCGCATTCAACTGTTCCCAAAAGATTCAGCAACTATAGTACGGTTCAAGCGGCCTACTCTGATGAACATGTGGCTCGCAGAAAGTACGTCAGAGTTCACCTGAACGGGCATCAAGTGCGTCTTCAGCTTGATACAGCCTCGGACATCACAATTATCTCCAGCAAAACTTGGCAATATATTGGTGCTCCGTCAATCAACCGAACGACACATGTTGCACTTAACGCTTCAGGAGATCAACTTAATCTCATTGGTGAGTTGCAGTGTGAAATGGTTTTTGGCGCTGCTCGGGCAAACGGTGTCGTGTACATTACGGGCCTGTCACATTTGAATCTTCTTGGACTCGACTGGATCCAGAAGCTCCACCTGTTCGACATCCCCCTGAGTCAAGTCTGCAATACCCTCCGGCTCGGATATACGAGGCCCTCTTCAGAAGGTGACGGACCAAACATCAACCTGATCGAGCAGCTACGAAGGAAATTCCCGGCTGTGTTTTGCAACGACTTGGGAAGATGCACAAAGACCAAAGCAAGCCTTACTCTCAAAGACGGTGCCAAACCCGTATTCCGACCCAAAAGACCGGTACCGTACGCTGCGCTGCCGATTGTTGATGCGGAACTTGATCGTTTGGAGCGGGCAGGCGTCATCCAACCTGTGAACTATTCAGCGTGGGCAGCACCTATTGTTGTCGTCAAGAAGACCAATGGAGCCGTTCGTATCTGTGCTGACTACTCTACGGGATTGAATGCTGCTTTGAAAATGCACCAGTATCCTTTGCCAGTCCCAGAAGATTTATTTGCTAAGCTCAGTGGTGGCGCTTACTTTGCAAAGCTAGATTTATCAGATGCTTATCTTCAAATTGAAGTCGACGATGCTTCAAAGGAATTGCTGGCAATCAATACGCATCGAGGTTTATACCAGTTCAACCGTTTGCCGTTTGGTGTCAAATCAGCTCCCGCGATTTTCCAACAAATTATGGATACGATGTTAGCTGGGTTATCAGGAGTCGCAGCTTACTTGGACGACATCATAATCAAAGCGTCTACCTTCCGAGAGCTGACGGAAAGACTGGAAGCAGTTCTCCACCGCGTTAACGACTACGGTTTCCACTTGAAAGCAGAAAAGTGCAATACCGGCATGAAGTGTGTAAAGTATCTTGGCTTCATCATCGACAAGGATGGCCGTCGTCCGGATCCTTCCAACATAAGCGCCATAAGACAGATGCCTCCACCTGACAATGTGGCGAAGCTCAGATCATTCTTGGGGTTGATCAGTCATTACAGCTCTTTTGTGCCCGAAATGCATCGGCTACGAGGACCACTCAATGAACTTCTGGTAAAGGATCGCAAATTTGTGTGGTCTCCTGAATGTCAAGCCGCATTTGATAATGTCAAGTCTATATTGTGTTCTGACCTATTGCTAACGCATTTCAATCCGGAGCTGGAGATCGTAGTTGCTGCTGATGCGTCAGACTACGGAATTGGAGCAGTCATATCCCACATTTTCCCCAATGGTTCGGAGAAAGCTGTGGCGCATGCGGCCAGATCACTCACCCCAGCGGAACGTAACTATGGACAAATCGAGAAAGAAGCTTTAGCCATAGTGTTTGCAGTCAAGCGATTTCACAAAATGCTCTACGGACGAAAATTCACGCTGTTTACTGACCACAAACCCTTGGTCGCAATCTTTGGATCAAAGAAAGGCATTCCGGTCTGCACGGCCAGTCGTCTCCAACGCTGGGCAACGGTTCTACTTGGTTACGATTTCGTCGTCAAATATCAATCTACACACAACATTGGTCAAGCAGATGCGTTATCTCGTTTAATTGGTACACAACATCAAGAACCAGAGGATTTGGTAGTTGCTCAAATCTCCGTAGAACCCCAAGTACAGCAAGTTGTGTCTGATATTTTCGGTGCCTTACCAGTAACATTCGAAATGGTGCGGGAAGCGACCCAGCATGATTCTACCCTTCAACAAGTGATTGATTTCCACCTCAATGGATGGCCTAAGAGAGTTACAACGCCGGAGCTTCAACAATTCCACCAACGGAAGGAAGCACTATCGGTCGTCAGAAACTGCCTGCTGTTCTCAGATCGCGTCGTCATTCCACACATCCTTCAAGATAGAGTCCTCCGACAATTTCATACTGGCCACCCGGGAATGAATCGCATGAAATCCCTGGTACGAAGCTATGTGTATTGGCCCTATATGGATTCCCAGATCGAGAGTTTAACCAAGAATTGTCCCCGATGTGCTAGTGTATCAAAACAACCAAGGAAGACGGAATTGCAATCCTGGCGAATACCAACGGAACCATGGTCAAGGGTACACATCGACTTTGCAGGTCCAATTGATGGTCACCATTTTCTCATTGTTGTCGATGCCCACAGTAAATGGCCGGAGGTGATTCCAATGGTCAGAACCACAGCAGCAGCCACTGTCTCCGCTCTTCGACAGATATTTTCTCGTTTCGGTGTTCCCCACACGTTGGTTTCGGACAATGGAACACAATTTACCTCATCTGAATTTGTCGTCTTCTGTCGCAGAAACGCGATCGTCCACGTAAGGTCTCCACCCTTCCACCCACAATCGAACGGGCAAGCGGAACGATTTGTGGATACCCTCAAAAGAGCTTTGCTAAAGATGAAGGGGGAAGGTACCTTGGAGGAGATTCTTGACACATTTCTGCTGACGTATCGCACAACTCCGAATCCGCAGACACCGAACGCCCTATCTCCGGCTGAAACTTTGTTTCAAAGGAAAATCCGTGTGCCGCATGATGCCCTCAGGCCCAGGAAGGATCAGTTGCTGTCCCGCAACTATCAGATGGAGCGACAATTCAACATCCGACACGGTGCTCGGAAGCGAAGCTTTAATGTTGGTCAACAAGTTCTGGCGAGAGACTATCGCATCCACTATCCTAAATGGGCTATGGGCCATGTACTATACAAACGTGGTAACGTGATATACGGTATCCAGGTTGGGACGGCAGTTTGGGTAAGACATGCCAATCAGCTGCTAGCGGCACGGACTGGGGAACAAGTGCAACAACAAGTACCAGCAACGCAGTTACCTCTGGACATCCTGGCCGACGCCAGTGAAGCGACGACTCCCCCGCATGCCCCAACACCGCAAGCACAAAATTCACCCCGAAACCTAGCAGCACAGCGGCCGAAGCGGCGACGCAAATTCGTATCACCCATGCAAGTCAACCCCAAGCTGAAATCGTACAACACAACTCAAAGGGGGGAAGTGTTAGGAAGGAATACACGAGTCGAACAAGCCAGGACCCCATCGCCTCGGCCGGCTATCCAAACCCATCCGCCCTGATTGGGGCGAACAGAGAGCCAACCAGGAGAAGCGGCCAATGAACGCTAGGTTGAAGTTCTTTTATTGGCTGTAAGTTAACCTTTCCAGAGCTTTCCACGGTCGCTTTAAATATATTGTTCACGAACTTTCCAATTTACCTTTATAATGAACGGTGTGATTTGCTAATTCATTCCTGTTGCCCTGCTCGTCCGATTCGTCTTCTCTCTGTCCTGTGGGGGGCCAGCGACTTCGGGTTTGATTGGGAATCAGCATCAGCCAATTAACAGTTAAAAACAGACTTGCATGAATTATCGCTAATATCCTCTTGTAAGATCATGTCACCATGTCTACTAGATTCAAGACAGCCAACGATCCGTCCATATTGAACCTTGTTCTCACGAATAATGTGTTAATGGTTGACAAATTATTAATGGAGAGTCCATTAAGTTTCAGCTACCATGTAGTTGTAACTTTCAACTATGTGTGTTGTGCAGAGTATTCATTTGAACAACCAGAACTAAATCATACAATCACACGCTGCTACGCCTTGATAATAATCTTTGAAATAGTTCTCAAACAACGTTTAGACAGAGTTCGTTGAAAGGCTTAACCACACGGTCAACAGAGCGTCATAGATAAAGATCCTTCGTTGCGCAGAATGTCTTCAATCTTAACGTGCAAGACTCGAAAACGCGTATCATGTCGTACCTAAAAGGTTAACCCTGATTCAGCGACTTAATGTAATTTCCTGACCCATCGTCACCATTTCACTGCAGTTGTCCGTAAGAAATAAGTAACCTACCGACAGTGTCCAGCCAAAAATATCCAACAAACTACAAACTGTTCATAGGCATGTCAACAGTCTTCGTACAGTGAAGCATGGCAATTATCTTTTTCTCACAGTAGACAGTTGGACACAAAGCGCCAAAGAAACAGTTAATGCCCTGATACGACAATGCTCCCCAGTTATCGAATTCGCAGCATCTACCTGTCCCATAACCTCAAGCACATTACCTCCTCCATGGTTTACACATGTAACTTTCAACCGGCAATTTTGCTAAGGAATTAGGTCTCACACCGCGTTCATCACTATTTGGGAGTAGACAACATCCGCCTAAAGGACAGAGGGCTGCGGTCACCAAGTCAGCTGAACCACTGTCACAGCTCTTCTAATGTTGCTTTGATGAACAACAAGTCTACAATATTTGGAAGCGTGGCATTATAGTCCCAAATTTCATTGACGATATACGTTCAGATCCTGCAAACTATCGCCTAGTGACTATTCTAATTGTGCTCGCGAAGGTGGTTAAAACAGTCGTCGACTAAGCTAAAACGGACTAACTGGAAAACTGCAACAACTTGGCACCGGAACAGTAAGGCATCCGTCAACCACAACCTGTTAATGACATGCGGTAGTTGGACGGAAGTGGCTGATGATGGAGTCGAAGTTGACGTTATCTATCTGGACCTATGCAAACCTTCCAACAGTCTAAATCACCGTATCTTACTCCAACAGCTACAAAGCTGCATAATGGGAGATCCTGTTCTCAGTTGGATTGGCAACTTTCTTCACTCATGCAAGTATGCTTCAAGTGCGTGTTAGAGATCAATCTTCAACACTATTGAGGTAGAATATGGTGCTCCACAGTGCTTGGTTCTGCGACCGCACTTATTCTTAGTGTTTATCGACTACCTGGCAAGAGTTATCTCTTCAAATTTCCTGATTTTCGCCGTTGATATCAGGATATGGCAGGCGATTAATAAGAATAACTGCTTAACTCCTACGTGCGACCACACGTTGAATATGCTATCAAGGCGTGGCAGCCGCGACAGAAACAGTATCTTTTTGATCTCGAGACGCCTTTAAGTAGGGCTTATAATTAAGCCTCTAAGAATGTGCAGCCGTCCGTAACGACTTTTACGGTGGATCTCATATTGTTTAACCAGATTCTGAATAACGCAACACACATTCGTCGTCCGCTGCTACAAATACACTACAAAACTGACCAGATCTCTGAAAATGACAATGCAGTATATCCGCCTGAAATGCAATGAAAATGGATTCTTCATTTGAAACAGTCAGACGTCGGACGCTCATCCAAGGCATGTCGCTTTTGTCCCCAATCCAATCCTATGTCAAAAATTACTTAACAAAGCCTCTTCTCATCCGCGTTTCGTTACCTAATTTTTACGCCAGGGACTGAAAAATTTAATCATACGGCGTGCGTTTCCCTACTCCCTAAGAAGGGCATATGTATATATACTTGTAACACCCTGACAACGCCGCGTTTCTACGTAAGTCTATGATGAGTCTATTAAGGCGCTTTTCACTTTATCCTAGAATGTTGCGTTCGCAATACTATCCATCCCAAAGAACTTGTGAAGCATTGTAATATTTTTTACCCCCCATGCACCAATGTTCCACTGCTTCAATGATCTAGTCGTTAGATGTTTAGGTTTATGCATGGTAGAAAATACAAGGCAACTAATTCGTCTGTGCATTTGTAAGTATGGTGAAACATTCGATTCAACCTTAAGCCCATGCTTATTTTCGATAACGTTTGCTTATGTTTAATTTATAAGTGATTGCTCATTACTTGAGCATATACAATGAGCTATTTTTGACTAGATAACGTCCGACATAAGCTTTTAACAGGTAATACTTGACTGTTATATTGTATCCAAATCGAAATATATGATTTAAAGCGCAGATCTGCGCATACGTTTTATCATTGATGCAATGCGACTTAACGGCGTCTTGCAGAAAATAGAATAACCATGTATATTTTCCTCGTCTTGTTACTGTTGTGGGAAATCAAGCCCATTTTGCTTAGATAAAACAAATGTTTTGATAAGTGTCTTAAGCTAAATGAGGGCGCGAACCATGCATTTGATGCGCGTCACAGCTTTTACAAATTTCATACGATGACCCTTTTGTTAAATTGATTGTAAATCAAGGGGGAATTCGCCTTTGAACAAAATAGGAACAAATGACAGGAGGAAGTATTTTTCCGGTTTGCTTGCTAAAACGAAACAGTTTGTGTTGACGAATTGTTACACGTGAACTCACTACCAGAAATGATTCACCCATAGTGGCAATTTATCAAGTGAGTTGCTTGTATGTATTAAATGATTTTGTGTTCAATTCTACAAAATCTTAAAAGTCGGTGTGCGTTTTGAATTGCTGAACGTCGCTTCACATAACACCGTTTAAGGAAAAATGTTTGTTTGAAAAATGCTTAGTCTCCTATCTCATCTTATTTCTAGAACTTCGGATATCTTTAAGACAGTGTAGATGATGGAATGTCGAATAAGTGTACTCTTTGATAATCTCTTTAGCGCCCTTAGCATCCGTTGTTATGCAACTGTACGCAATTATACCTCCAGCTAGACTTTAAAGGTAAAGGACCGAAACTGCCTAAGCCCCTGTGTTTGCAAAATGTTGACAAATAGTTTTGTTTCAAGCAGTGAGTTCCCTTCATTATTCTAACTAAGTTTGCCTTCATGTGTCGTACTTGGAAAAATTAAGAGAAAAGAAATTATTGGGGATTGCTATGCTGCCTCACAACTTCGAATGCTAGGTGGAGCTTGGTGGAATGTAATGTGATCAGTAGATAATTGCTTGATGAGACCGTTGGCCGTCTGTGCAAGCAAGGATATTGATAGTTACAAATATACGACATTTCAATGCTGAAGATTTATGGTAGGTTCCGCTGTTCCCGGAAATTCAGAGTACCATGGGTTATTTCAAGTTACTTGGTTTCTTAGTCATCAGCGTTATGGTATGCACATAGTGTGTGGATGACCTTTATTCATTTAACTTATTCGTAACTTCTGTTTCAGGTGAGGATAACCAATTGAGTGGCATTGAAACGAATCGGGGTAACTGAGACTACATGGCTAGTTGTCCCGGGCAATTTACAATTTTACTTTGTCCTTGTCTTGTGTACCAATTCCTTTAGCCTTACGCTGGCTTTGTTTCTCAACGATTACATTATTGTGTAGATAATCATCACGATTACGTTTTAATTCACCTTGGCTCGTCAGCTGGGGAGTAGGCTGAAGAATATCGCCCGGTAAGAAAAAACTAGGGTATACAAATAGTTCACCTGCACAAAAAAGCGTGCTTGGCAGATGATTAGCAAGAATCAACTTCAGCAACTTGCCTTCCGCGGTTTATATTCTTAAGATATATGAAGTAGCACCAAAGCGCAATGACGTAACCATAAAAGGTTTCTGCTCCAGATGAATACCACGTGCTGCTGGCTACTAGCATTATAGCATAATAAGGACTAAAAAGCCACTGATTGATAGGTCCTGTGAACTGGTTTGTAACATGGCGATCTGTGTAGCTTCGAGATCGATTGCGGCACTACGTTTTCCAGGCAAACAGTCTCGCCAAGGTAACGTTACTACTCCTGGTCGTGGATGGTTTCTTTGCACTTATAGTGTCCACCAGACTCGAGATAACCGTATAAAAGTATGGTTGCGAGGTTCTTTCCAATATCCATCCAAGTCGTGCATGGCGTGTCTACGCCCCTTCAAAGGTTTATTCGGAAAGACGCGTATGAAACATGACCCATTTTCGAGGCCAGCTCTCGTACACACAACACAGGATGTCACAGTTGAAGGTCCAATAGTTAACATTATCGAGTTGTTTTTTTAAGCACTTGGTCGCTGATTCTGGCCGTGGGTGTAGATTAATGATATTAAATTATGTGCAGTGCGCTTTGTAGTCAACTGCCCATCTGGTTAGCATACAACTGATTTAGGTTTTCAAAGTTGGATTTGGAGAATCCGCTGTGTGGTTGGATAGCTACAAGAAAACTCTATTGAAACCTCGGTTCAATTGAGGTGGTTCAAGCTTTGTAATTACAGCTTCGCCTTCTCATTTTTTAAGGGTCTAGCAAAAGTAACTGAAGGCCTAAGTTTCCGGTTGCTTTTGTCAGCAACCGTGTTCCAACTATCACAGTTGTCGAGGTTCTTTTGCAATTTCGGATCAGTTTGTAGAGCAAACGAGGCCCAGATTTTACTTATTCCAACCAGACTTACCGTGATTTAGTCGGATGTATTTAGGCCAGTGGGGATTTTGACCTACAAAGCAATGGGTGGGGTATGTTTAAGGTGCTCCCCTGCTTTCTACCTCAGTTTGAATCAGGGCATGAGGTATGGACTGGAGTTTACTCTCCGTTAATCTTAATTTTGATAAGGCGACTTTGCTGTTCCACATTTGTTCAATTCCTGT